GTCTTACACCAAGTGCTCGTACTAAGTAGTGCTCGGTCTTACACCAAGTGCTCGTACTAAGTAGTGCTCGGTCTTACACCAAGTGCTCGTATTAAGTGGTGCTCGGTCTTAAACCAAGCGCTCGACCTTGATTCTGTAATTTAATTTTTAAATAAGAGCATTCGGCCAAAACTAATAGCGTTCGGTCTCTACAGTGTTCAGTCTTCGACTACCACTCGTTCTCCTTGATGTTAAACTCATAAATAAGCTAAGTTTTTATAGCGTTCGGTTTCTTCATATAATTCCGTCACTTATTATTATTTGATGTCCTACAGTATCAGTTTCTATGGTGTTCGGCCTAGAGTCTTAGTACTCGGCCTAGGCTTATTGGCGTTCGGTCTAAACTCTCATGAGTCAGTTCATTAAATTGGCTCACCTTGTAAATAACGTTCGATTCTATTAGTCTTTGAGAAATATTATTGTAATCGGTCTCTTTCTCAACCCTGATAGTAACTCTCTCGGTTTTGATCTGTTTTGGAACTGGAGACCTCTCGGTCTCACTCCAAGTGTTCGGTCTCGTTGGGGTTGAAGATTAACGGTCGGTATTTGGTATCCTATGGGATCTGTATTCAAATTGGTTCGATTTGAGGTTTTGAAAATGAAAGATGATGGAATATGATGTAGATGAAATGAGTATGAATATGAAAGAGTGTTCCGGGGAGGAATATCTCATGAATGAATATTAGAAATTGGTAAAGTATGAATGTGGGCACGCTAAGCTGGCGGTTCATTCTGATATTCCGTGATTACTCGTTCTCACGTAGAGAAGGGTAAGTCATGTGTGGGAATGACAGGAGGTCCTAGTCCTTATGGTTAATTTGGACAGATAGGACTAACCTCAGGTGGCAGCTGTTGAGGGTATCCCAGTTACTACATCACCCGGTTGCACGAACATCGTAGCTACACAGAAATCATACAGTCTGGACCGTCAGAGTCTAGTATTAGGCTTTGAATGAAAGAGTTAATGATTTATCTGGTTTAATTGATTTTATGAAGTATGCTGATACATGAATTAAATTACATAAGCTTACCCTATTTTCCTGTCTTGTTCGTTTTGTACGTTCGGTCGTTTGTCCTGTTGCAATGATCATCCGTGTGGATGTGAGCAGAAGGAGCAGAGCTGCTGGAAGAAGCGCTGGAAGAAGAAAGTTTGGTCGAGGTAGAAGTTAAGACCGAACAGTAGAACCGTTCGGTCAGTAGTTAGTTTATTTGTACGATGACCATTTGATCATCTCTTACCCCTTTTTCTTTTGTATGACCGTTCAATATAGGTCTTTTGTAAACCGTTCGGTCTAGATTGCTTATTTGTACAGTTTTAACTTTCTCGTTATTATGTAAGGTCGTTCAGCCATAAGCGTACGTTCTATCTTTTGTAAGACTGATCTGTAGTATTATTAACATGTGATTGTTCTATTATATAGTTTTATACTGTATTTTTGGGATGTTACAATTAGATTCTTCTAAATTTTATAAACAAAATATAATTTTGAGATAAAACTTATTTTTTTTATAATTGAATTACTTTATACTTAAAAAAATTATGATTTAAATGTCTTTTTTTTTTCTATGTTCTCAAACCAATCGGTCACCTAAAATAAAGTGTATGTTTCTCTAATACAGGAATACCAGAGGAATTATCCCGTCCCATTCCAGCGTAAACAGCTGAATGACAAGGCACTATGGATGGAGTGACAGTAGTATCGAGGAAAATTATTAGAATTTAGTATTTTATTTGCAAACGAAAGGTACAGGAAATAAAAAAACCTCCTCGAAAATACTAATTTTAAAAAACCGTTAAATTAAAGAGTTAAACATACTTTTCATTACGTGACTCAAGTCTTAGTAATTGTAGAGATTAAATTAATATTTTCATAATCTATTGCGAATTTTATCGATTAAAATTAAAATAATAGTAAAATGACACGTAATTACGTTGATTTGACACATTATAAAAAGTAAAATATTTATAAAAAATATATTTTTGTAATTTTAGAAAAAGAAAAAAAATCAAATAAATATACCGCTAAAATTATACGCTCGTCAGACAATAAGACGAACCAGGTAATAAAAAGTAAAATATTATTTCTTCCAAGCTGTCACACACTAAAAGCGTTCCCGGGAACACACATTCCGTTTCAACCGCTTCCTCATCTCATCTCGCCGTTTCCGCCGCCGGACCCACCGCCATTCGACCGCGATGTTCGGGGCGAAGACATTTGTAAACTTCCTCGTCTTCATCACGCTCCTCCAATTAGCCGCTATTGAACGAAGTCACTTTCCGTTACGGCTTCTTCGGTGTTGCGGAACCCGCGAGAGAATAACGCTTCTACTTTGTGCGTGTCTGTTCCGTTGACGCCAACCACGTTAATGATGGTGGCCTTTTCTCCATCACGCCGTCCAGTGATTGCGATGTGGATACCTCGGGGAGAGATTAGTGGGAACTTGAGCTTAAGGTGGAATGTCTCAAGGATTCAAGTGAACGGTCCCATGTTTTTTCCGTTACCGTTACATTGTTTCCGTTTTGGGCGTGCTTTGGTTTTGTGTTCATGCGGTGAGGTTTTGTGCTGTATTGCACTTTGATGGATTCTTCGTCTCGTCTTTCGGTAAATGCTCGTAACTTTTTCCATTACTGTTTTTGTTGTTTCTGATTTGTGTGTGCTTTAGTTTCGTGCTTGCGTGGTGTGGTTTTGTGTTGTTCTGATAATGGTTAGTTGGAGTTGCGTGAACACATGGGTTTGTGTTGTGTTGCGTTTAACAGATTGATTCTTCTTCTCTTCTTTATGCTATGTTTGGTTAAAAGGGGAAAAAGATGAAAGAAGAGGGAGGATTTTGAAATTTTAACTAAAGAGGCCGAGGGGATTTCAAGTTTGAGCCGTTGTTCTGACTTTGCTCCTTTAATAATGTATTTAGTAGAACTGGCTTCGATGCATTTCGTTTGTTTTGTCACGAGATGGTGGAGTTGTCTCTAACAATTTTTCTTTGCCTGATACTAGCTACGAAATATGGATCTTCCATCTCCTTCTTGTTGACATTTGTGGTTGTTAATTGAAACTTTTGAATTTCGCAAATGCTAATGAGCCCCGTGGGAACAAGGGAAAGTATTAAATGAATACGAAAGTGGTATGTTGCCAACTTTTAGTGCTGCATTTTGTTTGAGAATAATTCTAAATTCCCTTACATAACTCTACATGCTTTGTATGGTAAGCATTTATTATTTTTATGATTCTTAAACTAAGTACATTTATTATTGTAGTTAATATTTTCTTTATAACATTTTAGGAAGATATATAAGGGCATTTACTTTGCTGGATCATATCTATGATCTTAAGTTTAAGATATATAAGACTTTCCCATTAAAACGTTGGCATGACATAAAATTTAAGACCTTAAGTCATAAGAATAAAAAAAATGTTTTGAAAACATCAACAATACAATAAAACATTAATTAAAGTGGGGGTTCAAGAGGGCATCTTCATTGTAGGGGTCATAGTCATAAGTTTACGACTTGGATCTTGTAAGACCTACATTGGAGTGTTTGGACATGATATAAAATTGAAGACCCTGAGATAGTTTAGAATTGAAGGTTTAAGGTTTTAGGAAATATAGAGAGTTAATTCTCTAAGGAAACAAATCCCTGTACTTATGGGATGATTTTTAAATACATAATCCTAATATTCATAGCAAGATACATATGTAATAAAGAAAAAAAAATATAGCAAGGATAAAATAAAAAACTCCCTTAAGTACACAATAGCAATTTATGTCTATAATGACTTCTAAATTGTTGGTCCTCTATTGGTTTAGGAATTTTGTCTTTTGTTAATGTATACCAATCTTGTATATTTTTTTAATAAAAAAACTCATGCTAGGTATTACTATACACACTTTGACATCTCAATTGTGCTGACACCTCAAAATACATCTATCATTTGCCATCACATGAAAAAATATTATTAAAAGGAATAATGAATCATGAGGAGAATAGACCAAAAACATGATCAGAAAATACAAGACAAGCTTCAATAGAAGCTAAACATCCCTATACATAGGAAGCTGGATGCCAATCTTGTATATTGTATGATAGCTAAGTCATGTCTTGTGTCTAGAAATTGCCATATTTGTGTGTTTGTCATATTGAATATGGGTCTTGTGTCATATCTAAGCTAAGGCTTCATTAAAAGCATGTTACTGGGTTTGCTGTTTGGCCCATTCTATCGAGGCCCATGAAGTACTTCAAAATAAGTATTTAAAGGGAAAAAATTCCTCTTCCTTACATATGTAACTTTACTTGTCTAAACAATGAAGTGATATATGGTTAAGTGGAGGAAACCTTGGTTAGGTCTTCTACAATTTTGTGAATCTTCAAGAAGGTTTTAATCTCTAGTAATGGATTTAAGAGGTATGTATGATTTGCAGCAAACTGCTCTCTATCTTATGTTTTAGATATGTGCTATGTTTGACAGCTTATTGTGAAATATAAGGGAATTTAGGGTATAAAACAGAACTAAAGTAGTCACTTTCTCTTGTTTGAATCTTCAACTAAGAAAAAGATTGTGAGTTGTCTTTCTTTGTTTCAAAGTTAAAATGAATTGAAGAGAAACTATTTCCCTTATTCAAGTATAGCTATTGCTTAAAATCTCTATTTAGAAGAAAGGAAGAGAGGATATGTCGCAGTCATTGCCACGTGCTTGAGTGTTATAGTTAAACTAAGGGGAGATAATCTGAAGGAAAGGGCTTGACAATTTTGATAAGGCAGCCAACCAAAGAGAAAAATACTATTGATTGGGGGTCCAAGTTCAAAATATCCTACCCTTGCAAAAATTGCATATAGAATCAGTAATTTTTTCTTGAAAACATTTCCACTGGAGGAGGCCACAGAGTCCTTGATTTTTTTCCCTTATGTAATTTAAGGTAAATATATTGTCTATTTCTTAAGGTAAACTATAGTTTCTTTTTTTTTTTTTAATTTGTTAACAGTCCTAAAATTTTGTTAAGTAAAAAGTGAATTCCACCTAAGTTTGATTTTCAGTATCTCTTGGTTAAGTTATACTAGATTTAACTAAAGTAATGTGTACACTTAAACCAAACTTCATTAAGATCAGAAATTGATATAATTCAAGGGGTTAAATGTATTTTGTTGTCTAATTTGGAGTGGAAGGATTTCAGGGCCTCCTCCTTCCTTTTCCTCCCTAAAATTTTAAAACATGGATATAGTAATTTGATATAATTAATAACTTGCCCACAAATTACTGATCTTAATCACAAATATTTATATTTGTTCTGTTTCAAATATCCAACACAATTATATTAATTGTGGTTGCAACTATCATTCTTTACCTTGTAGGAATTGATGGACATGCTGTATGTGAAGGTCCAATTGAGCAGGTGGTCAGAACAGAAACTAGAGAAGCTGAAGATTTATTGAAAAAATTGGATATTCTGGTGGGTTATCCCTTGGAGTCAAGTAAATAGATATAGAGTATGCTACACAGACCTCCCCTTAGGCAGTTTATGAAGCCTATGTAAATTGCAAACAACACATTATCTAGTTTTAGAATTTGTGTAAACTTTTTTCATATCATGTATATACTCATTGCATAACTTTTTCTGACACCCTTAGTAAACAATTAAATGCAGGACTTAGTTTAATATGAAACCAGAGGAGGTGTTGTCACAGGGTTCACAAACTTGAGACTTTGATGTAATTTACTAAGAATTTAATTGCAGTACATTAACTGTATAAGGGTTACACTGATGTGCAATCATGGATTTCCAAATAATCGAAAATTGAGTCCTTCTGATAGATATCAAAATTAAACTCTCTACTTATGGGATTAATTTTATTTGGTTCCTCATTTCTGACCTGTAATGTTTGTCCTTCAATATCCTTCTGTTAGTCTGACATCTGATATTTAAGGAAAACGGCACATGATTTTTGGATTAAAAAGACTACTGTGATGTGTAGGATTAAAAGCACCATGCAATGATTTTTCTTGTTTCGTTTTTATTATACCAGTTAAGCAATTCTAGTTCTATATATCATAGCAGGCTTTCAAATGACCAATGATAATATTTTTGTCACTTGAAAATCCTGTGTTGCATCAATTATTTCCATTTGTAATTGAATGACTTGAGTTGTATAAATAGAAACATTAGAAGGCTTGATTGGAACAAAAGAATACTGTGGGACTAAAACCTCCGTATGGGACAGTAACCTTGTTCCCAGAGGGTTGCCAATTTGAGGATGTTATATATAGTGGGACTTTTGTTAGGAAATTAATTTATGTTATTGTACAATTTGAAATTTTTATTTTCTTCCTTTTCAATTAATGTGCTGGGTAGTGGGTGCAAGTTTTCTAGTATTTTTATTTTACCTCAAGATATTGGCCTACTATATATCTTTTACCTTATGTCTTTTCTTCATTAATTGTTGGTGATTGGCACACTCTCTATATTTTTACCCTCACATTCTACCCTGTTTGGGTTTGGCTTGAACATTCTATAATGTATATAAAGTAAAATAACGTTCTTTATTGTCCTCATGCAGAGTCCTTCTTTGTCAAGAAATTCAGCCCGTGGAATATTTTGCTCCCGGTCCCTCAATCTAAGGTCAATTAGTGCCATTGGATATGACATGGACTATACCTTGGTGCATTATAATGTGAAGGTAATGATGAAATTATAGTGTCTCGATAATCTAAAATTACTCAACATTAATGTTTTTTAGAATTTGAGTTAAAGGCATAACTCGATTTTACAAAGCTAATTTGTAAGACAAAGACTGCTTAAGCGCTATAAGAATATTGATCTCATCTGCAATTGATGTGAGGTCTCTACTATGCTATATAATTTTATGAACCATTATATTTTAACTACTATGCTTACACATATAACTGTAATGCTCACTTGTATTACATGTCATGCATATAAATAAAAACAATTACAAATAAACTCTGTAGTTTAAGAAGGTTATACAGACAGACTATGACTGTGGCATCACGAGGTTTTTAATGAATGTTCTCTTTGGCATTTGTTAATTTACCTGTTCATGGGTACTGTGGTAATTTTCTCCATAATATCCCAAGTCTACAAGCTTTTTCTTTGTGGTGTTTGGAATATGTGAGATATTTGGATGGAGTTACCAAAAAGCTCTAGTCAGCAGTATGCTTCTCAGTAATAAATGCCAAATGAACAGTGTAATTACCTGGGAATCTTAACCAAGTTTTATTGGGCATGGGTCGTCCTTGGGCCTTACCTCTAGGTCATTTTGTGTGTTAATCCTACTTTATTGAGTAATCAGCTCTCTTTGATTAAGCACCTTAATGCATTACACATTTGAATATTGGGCCAGTCACCAAAGGCCAGAACTCTTTGGGTATATCGTGTATCATTAGTTTTGAGAATTTAGCACACGAGTAGTGGTGCAAATTATTTTCTCCTCATGGGGCTTAAAGTCTTTTTTTTCTTATTTATGTTAAGATCATTTTGCTTTGTACATCAAATAATAAGTATGAAAGAGGTTATTCAGTGTTGTTTTTTGAAACTATAGGTTATTTACTGTAAGTATCATCTTAGTTGAACTTCTACTATATGGATGTGTCTCTTAACAGGCTTGGGAAGGGCGGGCCTATGACTACTGTATGGAAAACCTCAAGAAAATGGGTTTCCCTGTGGATGGACTTACATTTGATCCAGACCTGGTAACATGTCATCTTTGGCAAGCTGAAGCATTTTGTGATTCATTGGATTGGATTGATATTATCTCTGGTTTTTCCAAGTGACATTTACATTCCATTAAATTTGTTCAGGTTATTAGAGGTCTTGTCATAGATAAAGAGAGAGGTAATTTGGTTAAAGCTGATCGATTCGGTTGTATAAAAAGAGCTATGCATGGAACCAAGCTGTTATCTACTCATGCTGTGAGGTAAGTGTGCTGAGCATCGTGACTTTTTTATTATAGAAATTCATAGAGTGTTAGGTTTCTGGGTATGAAACCTAACTGTCTCACAGCACACACTCACCAATAGCACCCAAATGGTAAGAAAAGAATGAAAATATGTATTCACATCAACCAATGTCATGTACAACCAGTAACTGGGAGCATAATCCCCCTCCAGGATCAAGGTTCCTGTCTATACAATTGATATCAAAAACTCCCTCTCTACCAGACCCTCCCTTGCCTTCTTATAAAGGCAGCCCACTTCTAACTACCCAACAACAATTAATTCCTAAACTGAACAATTAATTCTTCAACTGTTTTCTCTCTCCTGCACACCTAATACCCATTATAACCTATCATATTAAATCCTATCATTACACCCTGCTGCAAAACAACCTTGTCCTCAAGGTTGGTACAATAATGCTTGTTCCCATGGCTCATCTTCATCATAGGAAGGGAACCCACTGGCTGCTGCCTCCAATTCAGGTCTGGAGGCTTGGGTGGTGGTCTATATGAAAGAATTGTTGACTCCTTTAAGAGTTGCTTTTTTTCCAGAATTCCCATGGACCCTATGATTCTTCTATATTGCCTTCTGACCTGGTGACCACTTACATGGGCCTGGATTTTAACTCTTTTCTGATGAATGATCAAGAATTCTTTTCTCTTCTTCCACCCCCAAAACCTTTTTTGTATTTTTATAGCAGCAGTACTGGCGAAGCCCTCTCCTTGCCCAAATTTGTTCATCCTAGAAGCTAAAAAGGAAAGAACTTGTTGATCTGACCATCCAATTCCTTCATCATCATCATGTTGAGCTAACTGTTTCCTCTGAATGTTAAATTGCAGCCCTGCAAAGAAATATCTCTGCCATTGGTCTTCTAGTGTTTTGTATGTTTGTGACAACCATATTTTTTCCCCACTCAAGACAGCTGCATCTTCTACTTTATTTCCAGCCATCATAGTCACCCTGTTCCCACCATATTCTGCTTTCTTTCCTCTGTCTTCACCCTTCTTCTCTGTTTTATCATACACATCACAACCTACCCCACTATCTCTCCTAGAAACGGCAGCTTCTGCCACTTCCTGGGCAGCAACACAAACAATGCCTCCATCACATTTTTTGNTGGCTTGAACATTCTATAATGTATATAAAGTAAAATAACGTTCTTTATTGTCCTCATGCAGAGTCCTTCTTTGTCAAGAAATTCAGCCCGTGGAATATTTTGCTCCCGGTCCCTCAATCTAAGGTCAATTAGTGCCATTGGATATGACATGGACTATACCTTGGTGCATTATAATGTGAAGGTAATGATGAAATTATAGTGTCTCGATAATCTAAAATTACTCAACATTAATGTTTTTTAGAATTTGAGTTAAAGGCATAACTCGATTTTACAAAGCTAATTTGTAAGACAAAGACTGCTTAAGCGCTATAAGAATATTGATCACATCTGCAATTGATGTGAGGTCTCTACTATGCTATATAATTTTATGAACCATTATATTTTAACTACTATGCTTACACATATAACTGTAATGCTCACTTGTATTACATGTCATGCATATAAATAAAAACAATTACAAATAAACTCTGTAGTTTAAGAAGGTTATACAGACAGACTATGACTGTGGCATCACGAGGTTTTTAATGAATGTTCTCTTTGGCATTTGTTAATTTACCTGTTCATGGGTACTGTGGTAATTTTCTCCATAATATCCCAAGTCTACAAGCTTTTTATTTGTGGTGTTTGGAATATGTGAGATATTTGGATGGAGTTACCAAAAAGCTCTAGTCAGCAGTATGCTTCTCAGTAATAAATGCCAAATGAACAGTGTAATTACCTGGGAATCTTAACCAAGTTTTATTGGGCATGGGTCGTCCTTGGGCCTTACCTCTAGGTCATTTTGTGTGTTAATCCTACTTTATTGAGTAATCAGCTCTCTTTGATTAAGCACCTTAATGCATTACACATTTGAATATTGGGCCAGTCACCAAAGGCCAGAACTCTTTGGGTATATCGTGTATCATTAGTTTTGAGAATTTAGCACACGAGTAGTGGTGCAAATTATTTTCTCCTCATGGGGCTTAAAGTCTTTTTTTTCTTATTTATGTTAAGATCATTTTGCTTTGTACATCAAATAATAAGTATGAAAGAGGTTATTCAGTGTTGTTTTTTGAAACTATAGGTTATTTACTGTAAGTATCATCTTAGTTGAACTTCTACTATATGGATGTGTCTCTTAACAGGCTTGGGAAGGGCGGGCCTATGACTACTGTATGGAAAACCTCAAGAAAATGGGTTTCCCTGTGGATGGACTTACATTTGATCCAGACCTGGTAACATGTCATCTTTGGCAAGCTGAAGCATTTTGTGATTCATTGGATTGGATTGATATTATCTCTGGTTTTTCCAAGTGACATTTACATTCCATTAAATTTGTTCAGGTTATTAGAGGTCTTGTCATAGATAAAGAGAGAGGTAATTTGGTTAAAGCTGATCGATTCGGTTGTATAAAAAGAGCTATGCATGGAACCAAGCTGTTATCTACTCATGCTGTGAGGTAAGTGTGCTGAGCATCGTGACT